GCTCAGGGGCCCAACGGAGTAGGATTCCTCTGCCGGCTGTGGGATTCGAACCGGCAACCTCCCAGCCACAGGCACTCTGCCCCTTTTATTTTTATAAGATAATTATCAGATAAGCTGTGAAAGAGGGAGACATTTCCGTTTAAGCTTAGTATATTTCTACCCCCGGATGGGTGGAGGGCTGTCTGGGTGGAGTTTGCATGTTCTCCCCTGTGCTTGCGTGGGTGTCCTCCAGGTGCTTAACTTTCTGTCCCGCAGTCCATAGGCATGCTGGGAGGTTAGTTGGCTCCTGGGAAAACTGGTCCTGGAGTGTGTTGGTGTGCGTGCCCTGTGATGGACTGGCGTCCTGTCCAGTGTGTAGCCTGCCATTGTGCCCGCTTCGTGCTGGGATAGACTCTGGACCATGTCAATTTCTTTGTCTTTTAGGTACACCAGACGTCCACATCTCTGTCGAAAAGGTGGAATGTGGATCTCTGTGGAAAACAGCAAGCAAAATAAATTCCTTAGCTCTTTTCCAACACTTAATAGTGTTAATAATTCTGGCTTATAGTTCAGCAAAACTATATAGTATTGTCAACCTTTTTATAGCTAAATATGCATGTTATATTGGGAAATGTATGAAGTGCTGTTATTTAAACATAATATTCTTATTGCTAAACCTCTGCGTCTGAATCTGTTCATATTTTTAAAGAGCGGTTTTATTCTGATGCCCGTCTTCCTGTGTGTCTCTCTAGGAGAAGTGTGTGAAATCTGTCCCTCCAGTTGGCACAGGGGTCCCAATGGGACCTGTTACTTTGTCTCATCTGAAGGGAAATCCTGGGATTTTTCCTATAATGCGTGTTCTGTCCTGGGGGCTCATCTCGCTGTGATCCAGGACAGAGAGGAGCTGGTGAGGACACACAGACGGATTCATACAGAGCCGACTCTGCATTGGGGATCCATATTGATATGCATGGAAAAAAAAAACACTAACCCTTTTAATACTTGAAAGACCAAAAATTAAAATGTGTGAATGTGAACAACAATCCATTAATTTTCTAAGAGCTTTATCCAGTTAGCTTTATTCAGTGAAACGGAGCTCTCACTCTGCTACTCCTGAGCTCTCACTCTGCTCCTCCCGAGCTCTCACTTTACTCTTCCTGGGCTCTCTGCTCCTCCTGAGGTCTCATACTGAACCTCCTGAGCTCTCACTCTGCTCCTCCTGAACTCTCACTCTGAACCTCCTGAGCTCTCACTCAGCTCCTCCTAAGATCTCAT